TGATATGGAGGACTTCAGAGAGTGAGAAATTGTTTTGTTGCATAAATAAACAGGAAGATACGGTCTTCACTGCGTGATTGGTTTATTGTAGACAGTATCTTTAAAAAAACGGGGAGAAACCGGTGCAAACTGCTCAGTGTCCGGTGCGCTCTGGATTATAGGCTGTGTCTTATTCCAGAGATATGAGAGCACGAAAACTGTAAGAAGGGTTAAATTACATGGACCTGAACATTGTCACTGAGTACTAAGTCTAAATCTGTGTGACTCAAGAACAGGAGAAGTTTGTCGAACTAAGGAAATGAAATAGACGTCATATTAGGAAATATTAGGAAATAGGACGAGACCGATCAAATACGGAGAACGAAGCAGGTCCGGGTAGATTGATGGAACCCAATCAAAAAGAAGGCAAATTTCCTATGAAGTTTACTAGCGTGCAAAGAGAATTAAAGATAAAATCTTTGAACAAGAGGAGTCAAGGCCCCTTTCCATGAAGGTGAAAGACCATCCCTCTAGTAGTGTAATCAGTATTCGAGGTGTTCGTTTCCTTGCACTGAAGGTAACATATCATTCTACGCAGGACCTTTGTCAAGAGGAACTGGAAGGGGATGACTGTGTATTTTGTGAAGCATCTTCAGCGTTGTAAAAAGTACGTACGAAGTAAGTCTGATTTTTTTTCTTCTTTTTTTATGGGTTATGGGCACAGGACCTTCCACCTGCTCTCCTACATTTACAAAATTATACATGGGTGTTAAAGGCAAATTGGTGCTTCGCAACATATGACGATGAAAACAGAAGAATGTTACCATCTGTACATGTGATTAATGCTGATTAATTAACTGTTCTAAATATCAAACATATAAATTGTTACACCAGTGCCTATGATAAGGACATGTAACTCCTGCATATGATTTTCTTATCGACTAACTAATTATACATCTGGCTAAGTATTTTGTCCTTTCTTTTAGATAAATAGAGTCAGTGGTATTACATAGGGTCTTGCCTACTTTCTGCCCATGTCTGCAGATTTGTTTTCCTTACCCATTCGTCACTTGGCTCGGCATTTCCTACTATCAGCGGGAATAAGTATTATGAGGAAGTGTGAGTTGGAATGAAAATATGAAAGGGAATATTGATGTGACCGCATACCAGTCGTACCAAATATGCAGAAAGATCCACTTCTATGTGTTTGAGAGCTGTACATACCCAGAATGTACTTACAGATAATTTCGGTCGCCAAAATAGTTACGTCAGTCATCATGAGTGTGTTACTGTTTTATAAGTGTTCACTTTAATTAATAACAATTTACTAAGTGTACCCTAAGATTTACTGCCCACCCCAGCTAATGCAGGCGGTCAATGGACAGTGCTAGTGTGAATAGCTTTTCTAAAGGCTTAACCCTCTCAAAATATACAGCACGTGTATTATGCACAGAAAAAATAAAAGAAATTTGCGTGTCCAAAGCTGCGCAGAATTAGACTTTACTGGACATCTTACCCAAGTGAACTATTCGATCGCAATCAAACTGCGTCTCTCGCTTGGGATCTTAAAATTGCTAAATTCGTGAGTACATAGATCATGTGTTTGAAACTCCAGCCTTATGCATATCAGTTAGTTATATCATAGATTGCAGGAGGCTAAAATAACATCTCTTTTCGTATTTTTTTACTTATTCTGAACGATCTAATTCCCGAATTACATTTTACTACCATAAACTCATTTTTAAAAACCTCTTAGTCCTCAGTCAGTCCCCTCGATTAAATTAAAATACCATCTACATGGATCAATACCCGAAATTTTAACCGTCTGACGCTATAGGGAAAGAGGCTCACGACACCACTTTCAACACTCGCAATCATTATTTCAGCGTCCCTTGCGATTTTCCACAATCAATAAGGTCGATATCGAATGTGCGTCCCTTGGAGAAAAGGCCCCAAGTGATCTCGTATTACTCGAGCGTCACGCATCAATGTCTTGAAACCCGTACGTGGATTTGTTAAAATGTGGCAAATGTTGCAGGAACTGATGTGTTAAAGGGTTATGCGACTGGAATTGAGATGAAGAAGAAGGGGAAGAGGAAGAGAGAGAAGAAGAAAAAGAAGAAGAAGAAGAGAAGTAGAAGAGAAGCAGAGGAAGAAATAGAGATAGATAAATAGATAGATAGATAGATAGATAGAGAGAGAGAGAGAGAGAGAGAGAGAGAGAGAGAGAGAGAGAGAGAGAGAGAGAGAGAGAGAGACAGAGAGACAGAGGGACAGAGAGAAACAGAGAAAGTGGACGAGAAGCGGGAAGGGACAATCGAGAATCGCGGATCGGAGTTGGATGACAGGGGCAAACCCGGAGAAAACGGAGATGCATAATAAAGGCTAGGTTAGGCTTAGTGAGGGAGAGAGGACGCGACGCCGAAAAAAAAGGGGGGAGGGGGGAGAGAACCCGAGGTAGACACGGATAGGGGAGGGAGGGGAGATGCGGCGTGTGGAGGGGGGGAGGGGAGGGGAGGGTATGGAGGGAGGGGAGGGATGAGGGGGAGGGAGGGAGGGAGGTTGATTGAGGCAGGAATAAAATGAAGTTGAGTGTGGAAAGAGTGCGAGTTAGGCAAGAAAGAGAGTGAAGGGAAACGGCTGTGAATGGTCGGGTACCGAAAGGGAAAAGAGGGGGGGAAGTGGTAAAAATAAGCAAAGAAAAAATAAGAGAAGAGAAGGGAGGGAAGCAAGGAGGGCGAAGGAAAGATCACGGGAGATAGGCATGATGGGGTGAAAGAAAGAATATGCAAAATGTGATACAGAGGTTGAATGAGCGAAGGGTAAACGGTATGCAGAAGGACGAGGGAGACGGAATATCGAGTGAATCAAGAGACGAAAAGCGAAAGGAGGGGAAAACCGAAGGAAGAAGAGAAGGTGAGCTCGCAATGTAGAGGCAGTAAAGTTATGGATAACTTATGGCTTGGCAAGACTTCCCGAGATGTGGTCATGGCCCGGATTGTCCTTGCTTCACTGCTGGACTTGGGGTAAACAACCTCAGACTTTACTAAATTCTTCAAGGGTACGAGAGGAGACACTCAAAAGCAACTGCGAGTTTCTTCAGGCACCCAACCTTTTTCCTTTTGTATGGACGGCTTAAAGCTGAATACCGGCTAGCGAGCTTTCTCCGCTTGAAAGTTCAGCAAATAACGAGATATGCTATTATTAGAAGATTAATGGGTTTATATTACCAGATGTGTGGTTTTCTGGCACTCAAAACCAGAACTAAACGTAACTGACCTTAGTCAGCGATGAAAATCTGAGCAAGTGCCGGAGATACCCTGAAAAAATGTCTTCCTAATGTTTGCAATTTGATATCTACAGCATCCTAATGCAAAAGCCAATGCCATCTACTTCAATTAATATTCAAAAATGCTGGTAATTACCTTTATAAACAGTATAACTGATTTTATTAACAAGTTTGGAAATTAACATTCCACATAAAGATCCGCAGTCCCCTCCACCTACATATGGGATCTAAGAAGCGAGTGATTTTGCAGGGACGGTTAATAACGTGTGTGCCTTTAACATCCTTTACTCAGTAATTCTCTGTACCTTCGAGCAGACACGGCAAAGGTGCTAACACCGAGAATGGTCACACAACCTCTGTGAATACCTAGACATTTGCCCTAGCATTCTCAGAAAAGAAAGATATCAAGGCAGATAGTCTCTCTCCCTCTCTGTTTCGCTGTGTCTGAACAGGCTTAAACGTAGGAGGGGGTGAGGTGGGCGCGCCAGAAAGGGTCTCGTTGTGGACTATCGGCATAGCCTCACGCCCAACCCGCGCCCTGCCTTGCATTCTCCTGGAGGTAGCAGTTTTTGTGGAGCCTAGCGCGGCCAACCCGGCTCCTCACAGCAACAAAACCTCGCTGTGGCTACAGTTTTGCCCACCCACTAACCATTGCAAGGTCGATATTTCGCTTTGTTGCGGTCGAATACGAACCTTTCAGCCTTTGGTGTAATCTGTCAAAATCACACAGACGCATACAATTGATACATGTAACTGTGAAAGTAACCGAGCTGTTATATTTGTAAATATATGATGATGCTTTCACTGCCGTACTTATGCGTCACCCTGTATGAAGGCTTCTAGGCCAGGCTGTATGTCTGCCATATCATGCAGAGGCCAACGAAAGCACGTCATTTTTTTATCCGTTATTTGCCGCTGATCTACTTGTTGTTTCCTTGTGATATGTTCCAGTAATGTTGGAATTAACGCTTAGGATCTGTTGCATATTTCCAAAGTCAAAGTTCTGCTTGTAATTACGATATTGCACAAGCGTTAGAGAGTGCCACCGATATGGCAACACCCACTAGGCCAAGCTAACGGGGAAGATCTTGCAAAAACTAGCTATCCTGGCTAGCTGATTCGTGTTTTTCCAAATGTATATTTTTTTACCATGAAAATGAACGTAATTATTGACATATCTTGCAGGCATATGCATGACAAGTACCCATCTCTCAGATTTAACCACTTAGGCCTAAATACAATCGCAAATACGAGCTTGTCATTGATCATATGGTAAGGGATGAGTTGAGTGCAAGAGGTGAGGTTCGGCTTCTCGTTGGACAAGCCTTTGCCGGTTGAAGAACGTCTGTGCTTTTTTAAGTACCTAATTTATATTCAAGGTCCGTATGTGCTGCTTTCATTAGTATCCTCTTCCATAGAAGTATTTTCTTTGCTTCATCTTAGATTTTATGCAAAACTTCAACGCGAGGATATGAGGGTGAATAAGTTGGGTGCTAATTAATTATTCATGTGCAAGTCGAGACCTACGACTCCTCATGCCCGCATTACGCCTTCCATGCCACAACGACGTATGTGGCATGACGCGAGCCCCTTACAAAAGATTTTCCCCACGCGGCCCACAGATACACGCAATGCACAAAATAACAACCGGTCGCCTCTAAATAAGCGAAAAGGAGTGCTGTGGGAGCGAATAGAGCGAGGCCGGGAAAAGGGCGAGCGGCGAGCGGGTCGGGAGAGAACCATCGGCTCAGTCGGCGGCGCTGGAGGAGACGAGCTGCGAAGAGCACGGCCCAAAGGAGCACGAAGCTTGCGTAAGTTTCGTCTGTTTTCTAAGTTTCCAAGTGGAGAGGTTGGCCCAATTCGCCTCAGACGCGAGTGTGAATGTACACGGAACCGTGCGGAGTAAGAAAAGGGAGGGAAAGAGCGGCCGGCGTGGGTGAAAACAGCGTTTGACTGCGGTGCGGGAATGTTTTGGGTTCTGCGCCATCTTGGGCGTTTGAAGGAGCGGCGGCGCGTCTTGCATGTCAAAGGGCGGCGCCGACCCCGCCAAGAGTGCCACACGCCGCCCCTCCGCCGTCGTGCCCTTCACTCCCCGGAGGCTTCGGAATTCGGCCCCGGGCTGGCGTCGCGGCGTTTTTGCGGGTGGGTAGGCCTACATGGCACGCGAAGGGAGGCGGGGAGACGGTCGTTGTCTCGCGAATTCAGGGCTCGACGTGACAGGCGATCAGGAGTCGCGTGTGTCGTTGAGGGCGGTGGGCAGCGTGCAGCGAGCGTCCTGAGCGACCTGTCATCCGCGGCAGGGGCGGCTGGGAGCGTTATTCCGGACGTGGGCGTCGTCGAGGCTGGAGCCCGAGGTGAGGCCAGGGCTGCGGCGTGGGGCGAGCGGTGCCAGGGACGCGGTGGCAGTCGTGGCGGCTGCGGGAGACGTGTATGTGCTCGTATGTGCTGCTCCTGCCGGCCCTGGGGTGGCGGGGGGCATGCCGCGTTTGGCCTTTCTAAGTTGCTTTTAGTGACCCGAAGTGCTCTCTCGAGTCACAGCTGGTGCTGCGAGGGAATTTTGGGAGATGTTGCACGTTATTGCAGTGGAACTTTGCGAGGATTTCAGTGGGACTTAGTGTGTTTGTTGCACTTTTGATTGCCTTATGAATTTATGTGAAGTGAAGTGATGAGCTACTGGTGCATCAGTGGTTATTATGGGTTTATCAGCTTTCGTTTGTGAAAGTGAAATGGCAACAAGACAGGAAAAAACACTTGCATTATTAGCATTTATTTGCCATTGACCTTTGATTTTAGAACTTGAAAAGATAAAACCATGTGATTTTAGACTTTTTCTCTTCATTCCCAGAAACTTTGCAACAGACATCTCAGTGCAGTGATACTTTTTTTCTTTTTTTATTTTAAATAGGTTTCCAGCCTTGGCAAAGATACTTTGGGAAGACGAAGTGCTTCATAGATCATGGAAAAAAAAGCACATGTTTAAGTTTGCGAAATTGGTTGTATGAATGGTAGAAGTTACCGTGGATGTAACAAATATTGTAGGCAAGCTGAATTTGAGAAAGAAGTATGTATTTATAAACACAAAGCAAGGGTCATGTAAAGAGAATGTTTTGATCATAAGTATAGAGTAATTATATCGAGATCCATAACTTGGAGGAGAAAGTGGTTGCATATGGCAGTAATTGTAAACATCATCATAGACAATTTGAAAGATATTTCTTGTCATTGATAAACAAGTACGAAAGACTTGCTGGAAGGGTCCTGTCTATTGCTTACTAATTTCGTCCAGATTATTCTTTGGAACCTGCTTGCAGTTCATACGTGAAGCTCTTCAAACTATTGCCTTGAGTGTTAATGATATTTGCACCTAAACCACTGGCACTGATGCTTACGTCCTGCAATATGTGGTCTATTGTTTTTGAAATCTTATGAACAAAAGATTTCTGAAGTTGCTCTTTTCTATGATTTGACCTTTGCTTCTTGTGTTTACATTCACAATGATGTATTTGGGGTGGAAGTTTCTCTTCCTAGTAACAACATTTAAGATGAAGTAGAGAGCTGGGAAGTGTTTCACATATTGAAAATAGATGAAATCTAGAGCTGGGGGGAGTGTTTTGTGTACAATATAGAGAGCCAAGGCATTGTTCTCTCTATTAAAGCAAGAAACAAGGGTGGGGGGTGGGGGGCTGAAACGATAAGGTCCTTTTCCAGACATTCTCTTCCGAGTGGGAATTAATATTGGAGCAGCATCAGATTTTTTTATTATTGTATTTTTTTTTCTACTTTGAAAGTTTATGGTACTGGGTTCATGCATCATGAGTTCAAATACTGCAAAGAAATGTTTTCTTATTGAGTATGCTCATATACCTGTGATATGAATAATCTGAGGGGGGTTGAGTGGGGAATGTTCATCACAAATTTGTTTGATCCTCCCCAATTTTGCAAATAATGTGCTAACATAACTTCTCTGTTTGAGCTTTTCTTACATTTTTCAAGCTTTTTCAAACATACCTAGGCATTATGACACAAAGTTATGTCTGATTCTTTGTAGTGATTATTGTAAAGCACTTGTTTTGGTGCTACATTCAGTTTTATTGTAATATTAGAGCTTAAATATTGCATACATGTGAGCAAATTGAAGTTAGCACAATATTTATGCTTGAGTAAGCACAGTTGCAATCATGGTGAATCATCTGACAAATGGGACATGATATGACAGTAAATTTGTATACATTAGTCTGTATGTGTGTATTGGTAGTGTACATATTTTTGTTGGGAGGGAGGGGACGTGTTTATATAGATTGATTGATAGATGTAGATTAACATTGGATACAGATTGCACTAAGTAAGCCACAAAGATAATTTCAGTCTCAAGTTTAACTTGATATTGGCAGTATGTCAAGCAGTGAACAATTTTATTTGATAATGTTCAAGGGAAGTCTGTGAGCTCTATCATGCCGCAAACTATTTAGTGTAGGTTTGCCATCTTTTACCGAAGTACATTGGTTGCATCTGTGGTGGTTGCTTGTCACTGTGGGCGGGTTTTACCTTCAGATCTTAAACCATCCTTCACAGTTTAAAGTAACGTTGAAGTGAATTTCCTTGAAGTAAATATGTTATTTAGAAGCTATGCCAGGCCTCGGAAGCATTTAATTCACTCTAATGTCAAAGTTAAACATTTATATACACAAATTCATCAACATACATTTATGTTTATGTATGTTTGCACTACTGCTTGATTTGCTTTATAAGTAGGGATCACTGCCATGTCTTATTTAGCTAAAGGAACTAGCTTTACTTCTGAGTCGGTGATATCATGGCTTAGATCTGTAATAAGTAACTACCATATATTTGGTATTGGATTTTTTCTTTCTTATTTTTTTATCATGATCAATTGTCAGGCACCCTGCATAGTATTTACTGGACACTTGTCATGGCTAGCTTGACTGTTCCTGTTCACTAACTTATTTTAGGCGAACCTACACCATTTATAGTTGACTCTGGCCATTAGCTCTGTAGAATTAGAATGACTTGTATTGCATTAATTTCAAGTTTGTAAAATAATTACCAGCCTATATGTATTTGAAGGAGGATACATTTTTAAATAGTGTCTTAAAGATTACTAAAGTTATCCTGAGAATGTTCTAGAGGTACTGATGGATTATGGAAGGAAAGAGAAAGGAAAATACTGCTAGATAATTCTTGTCGTTTTATTGGCAATTAAAATAACATTTACTAATTTTTGCTTGACAAGTTTTTGTGGCATGGATTTCTAACCAGTATTTTTGGTTTCCTATCCACAGAGGTGAAAATGCAGGACACAGGGTGCTGTACTTAAGGTGCAGTATACTTTTTTTTCTAGTATGTAGCAAAGTGGTAGTTGCTACTGTCTTGGCCAAACTTTAATTCAGTTCATTGATATTAGAGATATGAAAAGGATAAAAATCTAGAATGGAGGACTAGAGCAATCTCCAAAGTCTGCTTGGTGGTGGCATTGATTAGATGGGTTGAAAATCTTTGAGAGAGAGAGAAAAAAAAATACAAAGAAAGATCTTTTATCTTATCTAAATCTAGTCATTAGGAAGATGAATTAACGGTAAACCTTTTAAAAAATTGTACTTTGCTCTGGTGCTATTTTATTATTTAAAGAGTACTTGATCTTTTTTTTTTTTTTATCAAAGTTCACCTTTTGATCAGATGGAGAGACGATTTCACTGCTATATTTTCAGTAGATGTTTGTAAAGAAAACTGCCTTTTGGGCATTTCTTTTCTCTTTCCTGGTCACCTCCATTCTCTTCATATGAAAAAGCTTTGGTGAATAAGCAACAAAAATCACTTGATTGTTTTGTATATATTTTAGTAAAGTAAGGTTACATCCAAAGCCTACTCATGTGGTGAAGTCCGTAATGCTGTGACCTCTTTTTTCACTGGTGTGGTTCTATGGTGAACAATAACTGACATTACTCATAAACTGATAATTGTTTCGGTTTTAACTCACTGCTTCTGGTCTTTGGTTTTCTCCTATTAATCCAAGAACACTGGCTATACCTGTAGACATGTACTATCCACTGTGGTGGTCTTGTTCACCCATGCATAACTCTACAAGGGCTGCTTGGTCACTAGGCCTATTTGATCTCAGCCATTTGTAATAATAATTAACTTGGGGGTGGGGGGGAATTGCATCTTAATATCATCGTCGTTATTAAGCAAGATCATTATCGTTAATATTGTAAACATAATGAATTATAGTGATGATGGTAACAGTAAATATAGTAAAGATAATTTCCTCGAAAATTTAAGATATGCGGCTAATCAGTGAGACCAGGTGTGGCTAACTCCTTGGAGTGCGTCTGCTTGTGGAGGGGACCATGGGTAAACAAAATTAATGAAACAAAATTATGGTAGACTTTGTATAATAATGGGATTGTCAGTGAATTAATTTTGTGTACACAGAGGACATGACCAATAATTATTCACCAAGAAGTCAATTACTGGGACAGTTTGATCTCCCTGTTTACTCTATTCCTTGAGTTTAATCTAAAAAAATGTTCTTGTTTTTATCATTATTATTATTAGTAGAGGTAGTAGTATTATCATTATTGTCAAAACTACTATTATCATAATAATTTTTATTGATATTGTTATTATTATTATTATTATAATTTTTTTTATTTTATTATTATTATTATTATTATTATTTTTATTTTTATTTTATTATTATTATAATATTTTCAT